TATATTGTGTTTCATGTTGCCTATTTAACTTTAATTTTCGATTTGTACATTATCGTTCCTTTTAAACTGCTACCGAAGAAGAAGCTTGTTAGTATCGAAACATTTAGTAAAAAATAAAGTAAACAACGAAGGAAATAAATAAATAATTTAATATAACAGCGTTTATTTGTATTCTAATTGTGGTAACCATCTGCACAGAATATATTCTGTTCTGATCACTCTACCATCTAGCTGCTGAGTGGTAATGTAAATAAATCAAGATTATAATGGTAAGGTGGTATGACCGTGATTGTGATTCAATGAGTTGTTCGAAATAAAATGGTAAGAACGGCTAATGCGTCAGTGATAGACAGACCATTGAGTTTTCTTTCCAAATTCCATCCTTAGCATAGCAGTATACGAAACAGCTAAAATGCGAGTATGTACAGGAGAAAAAAAGAAAATCTGCACTTTATCTTCATTTTGAAGGTTTCGAATTGTCTAGGTTCATATCAACACAAAAATGTACACAGAACTATATAAAGAGACGTCATTTTTACATGAAATTCGGGCATATAAACGAACATGTGAAATAGTCAGACGGAAGATAGTTAAAATAAAAGAAATACACGATGTTATTAAGGGAAAAGAAAAAGAAATAACAGAATAAAAGTGAATTCTAAAAAAAAGGACTAGCAGAAGAGTGAGAGATATGTCCAGAGGGATGTGTCAGTGAAGGAAAGTAAAAATGAAATAACCGTACCTCTCATTCTTCTCTAGTCCTGTTTAGAATTTACTTCTTTTCCTTCTCTGTTACTATCATCGTGCACTTCTTTTATTTCAACTATCCCCAGTTGTACTATTCCACATGTTCGTTTATATCTACGAATTTTATGTACTTAGAAATAATATCTCTGCAGCTCTTTGTACATTTTTCTGATGATGAACTTCGACGATTAGTACTGTAAAAAAGATAACCCAATGTTAAGAGAAGTCCTGTCAATATCAGTCAATGATTAGGTAATTCTAGATTAAAATTCATCCTTACTTAAAGAAACTGTAGTTTGAGAAGATGGGAACTTCTGATCTTATATCTTAAACTCATATCTATACGCCATATAAAATAACACGGTAAAATACACAAAAAGGTACTTACACAACAAGAGACAATGGTACTCTATGTATCGTTGCGATAATTCGTTTGGAAAGTGTTTTGTTTTTCATGCGTGAAGTATCCTAGTCCTTACCCTAGTCATCGATTCTTATAAAGGAATCAGACAAGAATCTTACTGAAAACTTATATGGATCCTATAAGATCCAGGTAAGAATCTTACCACACTCTTACAAGATTCGTATATAAGAAAACGCTCGAAAGTGCCACGAATTTCGTAAAAGTCTTATAAGAATTTGATAAGAGATTTGTAAGAAAGTCATAAGAAACTGCTAGGAATTCTGATGTTATCCCTATCTGTTTCCTATGAACATCTTATCTGAAAAAGCTGCTTCATGTGTTGACGTAAGAGAAGAAGAATTTTTTTCGTTTTTCAATTATGACGCCTTGGTTCTAGAAAGGTACCTTCACGACTTGTTCTAAGCCTTTACTATCTGTAGACTGGCGGTACTCTTCACTGCAGAACGAGAATAAGGTTCGAAAGAATTAAATTACATACGAAGAAAATAGAGAGCACAATATCTCGCATGTTTGCGTAAATTCCGCTTTTTCAAACTGATCTTCAGCAAAATACGAAGCTTTTGGTCTGTTTCCCTCTGTGAAGGCGGCATTCAGGTCGGACTCTCTAAGTGGCAGAAGATAGAGGAGCTCGAGTACTAGTAATATGCATCAAAATCCTTTACATACCTGTCCTGACAAAGCACTAGAAGCTATCACAAAAGAACCTTTTGTATATTACTCATATGAGTCGCCATCGGATAACAAGTTGTTACACTTATTACTACACATCAAGATAAATAATAATAACGTAAAAAGTCTTATCACTTTCTTACAAATCTCTTATAAGATTGTTATAAGACTCTTACGAAATTTGTGGCACTTTCGAGTGTTTTCCTATATAAGATTATTATAAGATTCGGATAAGATTTCCATAAGAATTTCTAAAAACGTTTTGTCTAGGGAATCTGCCGAAAGATGCTTGAAAATCAGCGAGATTAACAACGATTACTCCTGATAATCTACGCTCGATGAGTCTGTCAGTGTAAACCACTCATATTATTCCAGGTTTTATTAATGACGTTTATTGATAGCGAAAAAAATGATGACTTCTCCATTCATTGGTTCCCACTTTATCACTTTCATTATCCACATTCTACTACTCGTTCATTGTTCATTCGCTCTCTCCTTTCATATTTCAACAGTCTCCTCTTGTATGTATGTTCCATTTTTCTCCTTTTGTCTTCTGCACTATATACATACATTGTACAGCACATACGCGAACAGTCCATTGTATGATACACTCATTCAAGGATGAAATTCCTTTAGGATACTTACAAACATCAGATGTTATAGTTTACGCCAAAAGTCATGAATAATGTGCAGCGCTTTTATAGAATTCTCTTTCACTTTTATCGACACAACGATGTTTAGTTTTAACCATTTTCATGAACGAAAATTTTGTTTTCTGCATTTCTTTTGAATGAAAATAAATTTTATGTCATTTCTTTATTTCTTGATTGGATAAAACTGAATAAAAGTTCATTTTTTTTTGGTCATGTGTTTGCAATGAAATACACCTTTCTTATTCTTTCATCTATCATTTTGTAATTGTGTGTTCTTCTTTATACACGTTGCATTTATCTCTTTCATTATCTATATAAGAAAAATATGTAACTATCTTCGCATAAATTCATTTTATTTCATATATTTCAGAGAGATAATAATCTATTATTATTTATTTATGCTTACTGTTAAATCATCTACATTTAGCATACGATCTCATTAGATTATCCAGTAAACAATATTCATGATAACAGCCGCTCCTAAAACAGGTTGTATGCGAACAATGTTAAAGTTATTTTTTATAACAAAATTTAAACAATTGTGTCATTACAATAATAATCCAATGCGTTTCCATTCTACTTCATACATTCAACCGTCATCAGCAAAACATTCTTTAATACCAATTTTAGATTTAACAAATTCATATCGGTTTTCGACTGATCGTATAGAATTAGCCCATGAAATCGATGAAATATGTAAAAATATTGGCTTTTTTATTATCACAGGACATTCCATAAGTGAAAAAATACAAGATGATATGATGAAAGTGTCAAAACAGTTTTTCGATTTACCATTACCATTAAAAAAGGAGATTTCTGGCTCAAAAGACTATCCTTATGGTTATAACGGTTTGAATGATGAAAATTTATCTCGAGGATATGGAAAATCATCATCATCATCATTAGCAGATATAAAAGAAAGTTTTTCGATTGGACCCTATAATGAAGATCCAATACGTTGGCCAACAAAACCTGAGAATATGTCAACAATTTGGTTACAATATTATAAAGAATGTGAACGTTTAGCTCAACATTTATATAATATATTTGCATTAGCATTAAATTTAGATTTAAATTGGTTCGATCAAAAAATAGATACACATCGTTCAGCATTACGTTCATTACATTATCCGTCAGTTTCATTGCCATTAATAGATAATCAATTTCGTTCTAGTGTCCATACTGACTATGGATCATTTACAATACTAAAACAAGATTCAATTGGTGGATTACAAGTAGAAAATCGTCTTGATGGAAAATGGATTGATGTGCCATTTGTGCAAAATAGTTTTGTTATAAATTTAGGTGATTTAATGTCTCGTTGGACGAATGATCGCTGGGTATCAACACCACATCGTGTTATTGTCCCATCACAAAATTCAAAAGATGGTTTTTCTGTAGCACGTCAAAGTATTGCCTACTTTAGTCAAATAAATCCAAATGAAATTGTTACATGTATTCCAACATGTTGTTCTGTCGATAAGCCAGTGAAATATCCACCAATTAAATCATGGGATTTAGTCATGGAGAAATATTTAGCATCAACAGGAAAAAAAATTAAATAATAACGTAGGACGTTTAGACCATACAGCAATAGAACACTCTTCTCAGTCCATTATATTTGTCAAACGTTCTACGTTTTATTATAAAAGAATATATCTATCAAATGTTTTGGACACTCAACATACTTCTAGATTATTAGAAAATGAACCAAAAGTGTAAATATATGTGTGATTAAGGAGGATGACCACAGATTCGTGTAAAAATCAGCTCAATGTTTAATCTTCGTTAAAATACTATCGATAAAACACAAATATAGCATATAATTATGTCTGCGAATAACAATGTTTAAATATCAAGATAAATAACATATGAAGTAAATATGATGCAATATATACTCTATAGCAAGTGAAGCTGAAGACAGCTGTGCGTATATGAGCGAAATATATGAAGAAAATGTTCGTAAGTAGAATATCAATAGCACTCTATACACATGGGACTAGCAAAGAAATTACATATCATCTTTCTCATAAAATATGTTTATTTGCACACATTGGACTCTAACGTCCGTGGCACAAGTCCAGGTTCAGGTTAAGTCCAAGTCTAGGTCCATTTTTCCAAGGTCTACAAGGTCAAGGTGCGATTTTATAGGTTCGGAGCAGGTCCGAGAAAAAATTGTTCCTTTCTACGAATCAGCAAACCATTAAGTGTACCCCCCAACCCTCTCTTTTTTCACCTTGTTGCCACGTCCGATTGAGTTCCAGTTTATAGCAGAGACAGAACTTCGACAAAGAAAATCGATGTATTTTTGTCCTGGAAAACTTCAGTTTTCATCCAGTCGCATTACGACGCCACCGAAAAATTGGTCCGATCGAGCTCAAAATTTTACCACAGATACTTCAGACACAACTTCAGGTTTGTTTCTTTTTCTTTTCGAAAAATATGCTATCTTTCTGTCGACATACGAAAAATGCTGAAAATGGCGCAAAAAACGCCTGATTTCTCTACTGATTTTCAGCATTTTTCGCATATCTCGAGAAGGGAAAGCACGGCTAGGCAACTCCAACTCCGGAGTTGAGGATTTTTTTGGTGGAGTTAGAGTTGAAGTTGAGATTTTAGGAGGTTGGAGTTGGTTCTTTTTTGAATTTTCATTCTCAACTCCGTTTTGCATTTTTGGAAATACTCAATGGTAGTAGAACTGATCTTCTAAACGAATGAGTGGCTGTATTTACGAGTGAATTCGGAAGTTCTTTGCACTTTCCGACCGAGAAAAGCTCAAAAACGTCCAGAATTCTGCTAAAAACCGAAAAATCTTCTTTACAAAAGTGAAGCAACCGAAGCTGAACTGGAGTTGAGATTTTTGTTGAGAGAGTTGGAGTTAGGGTTGAAAAATTTTGAGCGGAGTTGGATCAGAAATTTGAAAACGAAGTTGGATCAGAAATTTGAAAACGAAGTTGGAGTTGAAAGTCAGCGGAGTTGCCCAGCCCAGAAGGAAAGCATATTATATAAAACGAAACTGAGAGATAGGGTCTAAAATATCTGTGGTAAAATTTTGAGCTCGATCGGACCATTTTTTCGGGGAGTCGTAATGTGACTGGATGAAAAAGAGTTTTCCGGAAAACTCATATAAGAACATCTCAGAAAATTCTGGGCAAAAAATATATCAATTTTCTTTTCCGATGTTCTATCTCGCTATAAATTGGAGTTCAATCGGACGTGTGCTCCGAATTTGGTAACACGGTGGAAAAAGTGCCCTTAAAACATTAGACTTTTTCAACTCTTCTACAAATTTTGACTTTTTTGTCGGGGAAACTAGTTTATCTACAAAACTGCAACTATTAGTAAATTTCGATGATTTCGACGTGATGATCGTGATCCATAGAAGAGAAACTGAAGGATCAGAAGTGATGAAGTATATCGCATAAGGGTATTTGACTCGTGGAATTCTGTCATGATCGGACACCTCTTGTCTGATGAAGACTTGGGCGCAGGTCGAAACTGTATTTAAATTAAAATAAAGTTAATAACAGGAAGACCAAAAATTTACCAATAGTTTCAAATAGCTTTTCTAATATCCTACCAATCATACTGCTGTCTAATACATGTCAATACCTTTAGCTCTCTTCTTCACATCCACGATACATCATTAATAACATTTTAAATAGTCTAACAAATCATATAATTCGAATATATGTTCATCAAATATAATTAAGTGGTGTGAATTTTTATTTTATCTTGTCGCTTAACATCTCGTGGATACCGTCCTACAAATGTATTAGAATGTATGTTTTCCACCTTCGTTTTGTAATGTTGTAGCTAAAGTTGAGGAAAAAAGTTTAGAGAGACACTTGTTTTTGTTCTTTCTCGTGAACTCTAGCAGGTACCATATATCTGAAGATAGATTCGTACAGCGCTGACTTCGATGTGTGTATATATATATTATTCAAAAAGGTTCAACTTAATTCTATCCTGTTTAAAAGAAAACGTTTTTCAGAAATCCATGATCTCGAAAATCCTACTCAGCAACGTTATGAATGAAGAAGAGCCGTGATAGACTAATTATCGCTTTCGAGCTTCTGGTGTAAAAGTCGTAACTCAATGAAAAAAGATTGCTGAGGGCTGTGAGGTATCTCATTTTGAAGAGATCCTTGCTCTATCCTACTGCATGATGGTTTTTAAAAAGTAGGATTTTGGAGATCCTGGATTTCTGAAAAACGTTTTCTTTTAAACAGGATAAAATTAAGTTGAACCTTTTTGAATAATATATATATATATACACATCGAAGTCAGCGCTGTACGAATCTATCTTCAGATATATGGTACCTGCTAGAGTAGAAAATAAACTAAATACAGACTATAAAACCGCTTCCAGGCGATCAAAATCGAGAATGGCTTAAGAATGGGATAAGTGGACCAGAATGATGAACGTTACTTGTTTTTTAAACGTAGAATGAAGGTAGAATCCTTTATTCTAAAGCAACACTAACCCTAAACTAACATCCCTACTCTCATATATGCTTGTTTCCTGCGCTCATGCCTATCGTACAAGGACAAACTAGATCTAACCAAAGGCGCCGATCATCCATATGATCGAGATGATCCGAGAGATGACATATGGAGTTATGGAGTAAACACGTTTTGCCAGCATTTGACTTTATTGAACAATTGATTGTTTAAATACTGATTACACCAGGCAGACGACAGATTTGAAAATTCAAGATTTTCTGAGTGACTTTAATGGTGACCCACCTTCGTGCAATACACATTCACAACTATAGATATTGTAAGTTGCAACTTATCTTGTGCAAAAAAATCTGACAAAAACCCTTTAGAAACATCTTTAGAAGAATGTTTGTTCTATCTTTCGATACAAGAAAGAAAAAATTTTGGCTGATTGTGATTTGTGATGTTTTAATTGTTAACATCAGTTTATCCTAAATATACCACTTAATTTGCAATGCAATCACTTTAAAACTTCTTACAATTATTCCGTGTATAAACGACGACATACACTGTCATTATAGTATTCACATTTAATTGAATACTTATTATTTACTAATATATTTAATTGTTGTTCTTGTTCTTCAATTGTCATTCTATATTTATACTCTACTAAGAATATTACAGATATATCACACTGAAATTTGTTTAATGACCGATGATCATTTAATAATTCATACCAGTGCTTTAATAGTATAAAGTTTTTTTCTACACAAGATAAACCATCCGTAGAAATTGTGAATTTTTCTAGTTTCGGTAATTTATATAATAATATATTTTTTAATCCTTTAAACGATAAATAATGAATGATAAAGTTTAATTCAATTAAACTCAAATGTTGATCTGATGAAGATATTAAAATTTCATTTTCTTCCAATGTTTCTTCAAATGTAAATGATTTTAACATCGGTAAATGTTGAAGTAAAATATAAAAGTTATTTATACTACACCTCTGTAATTTCAATGATGCTATAGAAATGAATGAAAGAAATTTTAAATGCAGAATATATTCGTATAAATATCGACAGTCTATTCAAAAATAGACGACCGGCTTTTGCAAATTGAATAACTCTTGCTACTAGATACAGTAGACTAACATCTATCCGAATATCATAGTTTTAAAGATTTTCAGTTCCACAAATTTACAGAAATTTCAATTTTCTCAAATTTTCAACAAAATCCGTTATTATTTACCAATCCATTTTCATCAAAAACCGTTTGTTTTTCTTCTTCTTTCGCCATCTTTTTTACATGAGCACGACACGATCTGGCGAAGTACGTGACGTAGAAAAGTTCCGAAAACAGATGATTCTCTGGGCACTGAATGTGAACCAGCTTAAATTGTTTTTCCAAAGAACTATGAGGATTCGGCGTAGATATGGGCGGGACCAAGGTTGTCGGTCCCGCTCCCAGAAAATCTTTTTTGGTCCCGTCCCAGTCAGGAAAAATATTTTGTTATATGAAAAAGAGATGCGTCCAGTGAGAGGGACAAGAAGGATACAGACAGTGACGATATGAACGGTCAGATAAATGATGATGATATATAGAGTAAACTTGCTTTTTGAATGAAACTCTTTAATGCGCTAAACGTCAAACAGATTTTGTCTTTTTAATAAAGTTTGTATCATACCGTAAACAGAATACATGAAAAGTTCTACTAACTATTAAACTTCTTCACGCTGTTGTAAAAAGTCTAATTTAGCCCAATACGTTGAAGAGATTTAGTCATTTAATTTGTCAACGAAAAATAATTTCTCCTTTCTGTTCTTCGAACTGCCGTTTTAATTCTCTCTTCTAAGCACTTAAAAATGAAAGTCGCAGCGAATGTAGAGTACCGAAAATTCTCTAGCTCGGTAAACAGAGTCTGTCGACATCGCAACTCGTGCGTTGCGCAATTGCGATCCAGTATTTATTTAAAGTTTACTATGCTATTAATTGTCTTATATAGAACAGAGGCAGTTTCAGTCTCATGTACGGACGCTCTTTCATGCTGTTGATAATTTAGAGCGTTTTTCTGAGGAGAATTAAAGAAGGATCTTTTTCTACCTGTTCTTGTGACTAAAAACTTTTGAAACTATGCTATTCGGTTATATTCAAAGTGAAATTGAAGTAATTTAGCACATTTCTGTCAAAAGTTAGTCAACTTGCACAAATCGGCCTTTTTTGCTTTTGAACAGACCGTATTCTTCTTACTTAGATGTGTATTGAATCCAGTAGGTATTGTTGATGTAACTAAAGTAAATGGAATATGTAAAATTTTTAAGTTAGGAAAGTAATCCAGTTGTGATAACTTCGAAATGACATCTCCCTAAAATAAAAAAGGTGGTTCCAGTTCTCCATCCAATAATAAAATTGCTTTAAAGAGAGGTTTTGCTAGGCAATCCACCATTAAACCATACTGCCATCACATGGTCAAAATTAAGGTGTATTTTTTTGTGTACATTCGATTATACGTAAAAACTGAGGCTTCTTGAAGGTCAGATTTTTATACGGAATATCGTTTTCCAAAATTATCCGATCTTTTAGAACGATAGAAGCTCGTGCAAAGCCGACTTTTATCCAGAAAACAGGTTCGGGTGAAACTCTATCTATGTGTAGTTACCGCTTTGACTTATCTACAAAATCGAAGCAAAAACTCAAGAACGAATAAGTTTCGAAACATCGTGAAATTTTAAAAACAAATATAGCAGTAACATTAAAATCCCCAAAACATCATAGAATAAAACGAATTTTTCACGAACAAAATATCAGATTGAAGCAAAAGGATCCATATTTCAAACTTGATTGGCAGTTTTCCCAAATAAAAAATATTTTGCCTTGGTCTCTTGACTAGAGCTAAAATTTTGCGAAAGCATTTTCTGATTACGAAATGTGCACTTTTGCTTTTAGGACAATTTTGTGACACAGCACACCAACAGAAAAATATTTCTGATGATTCTACTCCTAGGATTCACTGCCCGAGAGCCCCAACAGGTGATGGTCAGATGATGTCTTAAATCAAGTTCGTTTTCGAGCGCATGGTAAAATCGGGCAAAACCAAGCCGTTAGCTTTAGTGTACCTCGGGTTCTTGAGTTATGAATGGTTCTTCGGAGGTATCTCGACGAAAATCTTAGGTCTAAGAAAGTAAAATAATAATTAAAAACAATATAATTTCATGAATACTAGCGATAGAGAGAAGCTCTGTTTAACATGAGTAGCTTATATCCGTAGCTAATATTTACCATATTTCAAAGGCCTTCATCTCGCTTTTTAGATCGGACAACCCTGATAACTGAAAACTGGAAATGATGCTTAACCCAAATCCTCCATCTTGGTTTTTAGGTCGGAAAACCCCCGAACCCTCTTCAAAACCATGCGAAGTTGCAAGGATCTCTGAAAAATCCTCCAACTTTCCGAAAAAAATTTATAATCTTTTAACCTACATAGGTGAATAGCGCACCAAGTTCTGGGTAAAACGATGTATCACTCAGCCTTTTATCGGTTAGTACTGAACACGAAAAAACAGTAATACAAAAAGGAGGCTTTAAAGCTCAGATGTTTTAACTGTAAAATCCCAGCAATTGTAACTTTACTAGTATATATGGAAACGGTCTAGTGATACATCATTTTGTTCAGAATTTTGCGCTCTTTCTAACTTCGCAATTAAAAAAAAATTCAAAATATTTAAAGGTTTTCTAGAGAACCCATGTGACTTTTCCAGAGATCCTTTGTGAGGCCCAAACTTTTGAAAGCGGATTCGGATAGTCCGTACTTGAAAGTACCAGAATATGTGTCTCTCGTTTCATACTAGGTGGCTTACCTCGCAAAAAATTTAAAACAACTTGATGCCCGAGGCACTTAGAAAACCAAAGTTTTCCAGCTGAAGATCCTGAGATAAAAATGATTTGAGGATGTCATAAAAAAACCCACATGGG